CGCCGCCCGGGCCACCCTCGTCCTCGCCAGCCCCGGTGAGTGGAAATGTGGGGGGCTGAGAGGCCCCGGGCGTCCGGGGGGCTCCCCTCCTCCCCCCGCCGCCGGCTGTGTCTTCCCTCGCGGGTGTGCGGTGCACACGCGTGTGCGGGATTGTTGGGGGCGCCGCCCGGGCCACCCTCGTCCTCGCCAGCCCCGGTGAGTGGAAATGTGGGGGGCTGAGAGGCCCCGGGCGTCCGGGGGGCTCCCCTCCTCCCCCCGCCGCCGGCTGTGTCTTCCCTCGCGGGTGTGCGGTGCACACGCGTGTGCGGGATTGTTGGGGGGGGGTGAGGCAGGGCGGTGTCTGTGCTTGTGCGTGCATTTGCACGGGTGTCAATGGCACCGTGTGCGTCTGCACGCGTGCCAGTGCCTGTCTACACGTCTGCACGTGTGTCAGTGCCTGTGCATGTGTTTGCACATGTGCCAGTGGCAGCGTATCTGCACACGTCAGTGTTCGTGCATGGATTGCCATGTGTGTCTGTGTCTGTGCATGAATTTGCATGTGTGTCAGGGTATGTACATGCATTTCCATGTGTGTCACTGCCTGTGCATGTGTCTGCACATGTGTCACTGCCTGTGCATGCATTTCCATGCATATCCCTGTGTGTGCTTGCAGTTGCACACACAGTGCCCAGGCATGTGTCTGCACGCATGTTGCTGTCTGTCTGTGCATTTCCACATGTGTCAGCATCCGTGCATGTGCTGGCACATGTATCAGTGTTTATACATGCCTTGGCACGTATGTCAGTCTCAGTGCATGCATTTGCACGTGTGTCAGTGCCTGTGGCTGCACGTGTCGGTGTGCATACACGCATTTCCAGGCGTGTCATTTCTATGTGTGCATTTGCACGCGTGTCAGCGCCCATACATGCTCTTGCACGCATGTCTGCAGCACGCCGTGGGTGCGAGGCATGGCCAGGCTGTTTGCCCCGAGCGTGCGAGAGTTGTTCACGCTGGGGCTGTGTTTGCACACATCCCCCCCCAGAGGGAATGGGCACGGCTGCTGTGTCCACACACGTGTGCGACACCCCCACGCCCCGGTGCGCGTGTCGGGGTGCTCTGGCCGTGCCAAGGCCGCGGGTTAATCTTCACCAGCCCCGTCCTGGGGTAAAGGTCTTTTTTTGTCTTTTGTTTTCTTGTGTTTTTTTTTTTTTGCCTCATGTTTTTGGGGGAGATAGATAGGAAAAAATCGGGGCAGGAGGAGGCTGGACCCCCTCAGGGTGCCCATCTGGGGGGCCTCAGGGTGCCCCTCAGGGTGCTGGGGGCACCCATGGGATCGGGGCACCCTTTTGGGGTGCTTTGAGTGCCCAGTTGGGATCCTTGGGGAACCCATCCAGGATGCCCAGGGTGCCCACCTGACTGAGGTCCCTCTTTGGGGTGCAACTGGTGCCCACCTGGGATCTTTGGGGCACACACTGTGATGACTGGGGCGCCCATTTTGGGGTGCATTGGGAGGCCCACCTGGGATCTTTGGGGCACCCACCGTGATGCCTGTGGTGCCCGTCTGATCAGGGTGCCCATTTCAGGGGACCCATCCTTGACCTTTTGGGC